TATTTTCGCGTTTTGATTATAGATATTGGCCAAACATTTTCCATGGGACAATTCGATGTTGTAACGGTTTATAGAATCGAGTATGCTCCTTGAGTTCGCGTTAAATAAAATTGTGTGTCGTATCAATCAAACGTTCTTACTTGTCCCCACATAACGTTTTAACCGAGAAACTCAGTTGACGCAATTGCGTTGAGTACCGTTAACGGATACACATTTTCGCATTCTATTCACAATTTATCGATTTCATTGAATGCGATTTCCTTTTTGATTTGACACATTGGTCTTTATCTCGAAATGATCAATTCGAAATGCGCAAGTTTATTCCAGATTTGCATATAAGCACGTCAAGTCAAGCGCTCTATGCTTCCATTGTAATCATGCATTGCGAATTATTTCAACAGAAGAAAATGTTTATCCGAATCACTCGCTCTTTGTGTTGAACTGAAACTTGAGAAACTGAAGATAATCGCTGCTTTTTGGAAGATTTAATTTTCGACGGTTCATTCGAAATCTTCATGTCACGAGAAAGTGCATGCAGCGTTGTTTGTTGAAAAATTATTATTTATTTCGGTTTTCAAGTCTCCATTGGTTGTTCGCTGCTCTTTTTTCTTTGAAATTGAGATTTGGTCTCTGTGTGGCGAATAAGAATCGATGGTGGCATGTTAAATGCTCAATCGATTTGAAAACTCTTTGTGAGACAAGAATAAAGAATGAAAATGGAAACGAAAATGAAGGAAAAAAAATATCATAACCAATGCGATGGATCGACCACCCGGATTCAGCTCTGTGAAAAACAATTTCATCGATGAGTTTGAATCTATGTCTTGTCTACTTTCCGTACACCTAGCTGCACTGGACACTTCATGTTGATACATCTCAATTGTATTTTGTTGTTAATGAAACAGCGCTCGTCATAAATTCAAAAAAAATGAACATTAAATCAGATCGGCTAGATAGATTAGTTTGAATCATCACAAAGGTCAAGGTGTATCATCGCCCGTTGCCTATAGTATAATTTCATTTTGCGTACGCCAAAATCTCAAATGCTTACTGAGTTGTTTGTTTACAAAAAACTCTATTTATGTTTACGTATTCATCCATGAACAAACTCGATACATATCCATGCTTGAACTGCATAAAACAATTATGAAATCAAGTACATTCGTCTGTAATCAATATGTTGCGTTGCAAGTCTGACATGAACTTCGATTTAAATAATAAATACCATGGAAATTAAGGCAGCTTCAGCCAGTCTTCAACTTGTAATCAGCATTCCACAGCAAAACAAAAATATGTTGGAAAAAGGCTAAAAATTGTTTTCCGTTAATTCAACTGAAGAGCGCCTATAATTTAATGACCAACTCAACCGTAAAAGTTTACTTAATCCAGTAAAACAGTCAATGTAGCAGCAGTCAAATGGAATTATGTTAGTTAAAGTTAAAAACTATAGACCAATTACTTTGAAGCTAATCAGCAACGTTTTTTAAAATTAATTCATTACAATACAAATTTAATTTGCCATAAATGGCGTTGTTCTTGTATTCACGAACGAAATAAAAACAGCTAATCTTTGTTTTTAGAAATCAAAAGAAGTAGTTAAAAACAATGTGCATTACTCAGAAAAAGCATTCAATACATTACAAAGAACAACAAGACTTCAGTGAAACTTTGTGAAAACAACAATGTGTCATACAAAACGAAGTAAGATAAGAAGCAAAAGTCAAGAATGAGTAATCAATACTCGTTGTAAACGTATACTTTTCTATCAACCAAAGTAAAAATGCTTATAGTTCGGAATACGACTTGCTTTCTTCTTCGTTTAAGTACATTTGTAGAGGGAAGAAAATTTAATGGAAGTCTCTCATTCAAGTGTAATTTTTAACTTGGTTTTCAGCGTTTGAGTTCTCGCAGTTTATGGCAAACCACTGCATTTAAATCAATATTGCCAATATAAATACCTTGAACAGGTCGATTTATGGTCAGAAACTTCGAACGGAAGATGAATGATGAGAGTCTCTAAAAAAACAGGTACAATGACGTCATTTTTAATGCCACATGCAGATTTTCTTATACTCATAACCTCCCACATGAATTTACCGAACTCAGTACGTTGAGAACAGTTTGTTGCTCTCATTTGACGTTTGATTTATTTCAAGTTCTGTAGAACAATTAGAGCCTCTCTTTTGAAGCTATTGTAAAATAGATAAAGTGGAATATGAATGGTATTTGTGATATTTTCAGCTCACAAACTGATTTTATTTTATAACTCTGCAAAACCTTATCGTTATAGATTCAAATTCTCGAAGATGAACAATGACAAAAAAACTCAGTTCGAGTTTGAAAAAAAAATAGCATGAGACAGAAAAGTAATGCTAGAATACATTCGATCAAACTAAAATTTACGATGATTGATGATGAACAATATCGTAACCGGCATTTCCACTCAATCAAACTATTTTTTTTTTACTTTGTTTTGTCTTTTTGTGATCTAAGTCATCACACGGTTTTATATACGATTGATATATTCGGTTGTCATTTGCAAACAAAAGGTTTACGACCTATATGGCCTGGCGTAACACAGAAAAAATGAGGACCGTAAGTGAACCGAAACACTGGATCACGCAAATAATAATTCCTTTGTTTTTGATCATCGCTGGCCTGTGTTTACCTGAAATTTTTTTCGTTGCTCACGATATGTAATTTAAAAGAATTTAAACGACGACTTGAAAAAAAGAAACAATTTATAAAAAAAGATGTTTCGAATATAAGAAGCGTTTGATTTTTTTCATCGTGCTAAGACAGAGGTAAATAATTGATTGGTAAATTTCAGGTTGAAAGTTTGACAATTCATCAAAAATAATAGTCCAAATGACTAGGCACTATCAATTTTCTGTTGAATTTGATCGATACGATTCGTTTCAATGATATTATTGGTTCAAAGTTCATAAAATTGGACAATTTTAACACCGGTCGATAAAATGTATTGGTATCCCATGAAGATGAGAAATTCTAGGCACTCGAATTAACATGAGCCTGCAGTTAGGGTCATCACTATGTGATCATTCGTAACAAAGTTTCACAATAATTTCAGATTCATGTCGGTGAGTTGGTCTATACGATCATTTTTGTCGACATCTTTGAAGAAAATAGTAATTTAAAAAATATTAATCATTGGTTGTGTAGAAATAAACCATCTGCAAACTTGTTGAATGTTGTTGGTTTGACAAAGAATTTTCACATATTGTTTTGCCATTTTGTATTGCACAAAATGGGGAAATACCAAGAAATCCTAAGGCATTATTCTTTATAAGGGTCACTTCTGGAAATCACGCACTGTGCAGAAAATGGTGTTAACAAAAAAACAAAACACTCATTTATTCACAGCAACACAAAACAAAACGAAAAAGAAGAAGTGCAGTGCAGTGCAGTGCAGTGCAGTCTGGTAATAGCAAGCGAATGAGCACAAAAAGAAGTTGAAATTATGTCTTTGAGATAAAATTATGAACGCATTTCTATAAATGAATGAAAAAAAGAGTGTGCTTGTATAGAGAATAGAACCTGCCGTACGATAAGTATGTGCATTGTGCAATCCACTGGCTGCAACATTGTTTGAATAAACTTGCTTTTTGTAAATCGTTTGCAATTGTAGTTTTTCTCATCGTGGATGATGGCGGAAAAATGAAGCTGCAGAGAGGAGTTAATTCATTGCATAAGACTGCATTTATTGAAATGAATGCTGGCTCAGCTTCATTTGAATATTAGTTCTTTCAGTCAAAAACAGGTTCACCTGCTTCACTGTTTTAGCCGCATGATAAAAAATATCACTATTTGCTAGCTTTTGTTTCATTAAATTTATTGATGTTTTAATTTTTTAAGAACAAGGTGGAAAAATTTTCTTACCAAGGCAAATAAAAGACTGAAGTAATGAATGAAATCAACAAAAGGCAGTCCTGAATAAGATTTGTGGCTTTTTTCTATTTCCAACATTGTTTCATTCAAAAGACTTTGAGCATAGTTTGAAATAAAAAGAGCAAAATATCGAGAAGTAAAAACTTTTTGTTTGATATGTGCCTTTGAGATATGAAATTTAATTTAAAAAAAAAATGTTTTTCAGTTTAATGGCTAAACATAAAGCGACAATGTTTTGAAATACGAAAAAAATTACCAATATTTTCAGTTGTCGATCGTTTCACGTGATTATTGAGTTCGACGAAGCAAGAGTGCTTCGAAACAGCAAAAAAAAAAAGAGGAAACAGTAAACTGAATTGTGAAATAATGAAATTACATTCAATAATAGTATAAACAAATGCTACTATAAAAGTTAGTTTCATCTTGATTTAATTGCACAAGTGAGGATGGTTGCCAATTTGAAGCTAGGTAATACTAGCAATTAGTAATCTCTTTTGTAACTTTTCAATCTGTTTTCGTTCACAATGAAATGGGATCTACGTGTTTAATGCACTTCTCACAATTAAAATGAACAAAGCACAAATGCACGTCGAAAAGAATAACACAGCTGAATTTGTCATTCTTGAAATGCACTGAAGAACAAATGTTTTTCTCGCAAAATCAGCGAATTTGAAGCAAAACATAAAGTGCTGATTGGATATGAATGATTCAATCGATCTAACTGATAAGAAAATAAACAATCGCATTTGTGCTATTTTTGTACTGTCCACCGCCAAGACATCGGGACAGTTTGTGTAAACAAACAACTGCGATATTCGTTGGGCGGAAAATATATTTATAAAGACGCGATGGTGAACACAAAAGATTTTGTCGTTACGGCTCCAAATACGCGCGTTTTCATTTTGTGTCTCAAACGATGCATATCGGATAACCGTTTGTCTGCTATTAAACCGGGCGTTGTTTATTTCTTTTCATACTAGCATACAATTTAAATTATAATTGTACATAAAAGAACATCGATGCCGGGCCGATGTGAATGTTATTCAAAGAGAGCAATAAAAGCCACAACGGCACACCGTGCACTCACTCACCTTGAATTTTTATATGTCGCTGACTAAATATGTCTCGGTATGATTTTTCACTGGTTTTTTTTTAGTCTAGTCTTTGTTCTTTTCACACACGCCTTTCACTAACGTTGATTCAGTTGTTATATGAATCTTTTTTTCACAAACTTTCCTGAAATTTTTTTTATCAATTAAATTTGTTTCTTTTGGAGCTCAAATTTGTATGCACTCAAACAATAATAGATTTTCTTGAGTTTTGATTATGCTGGAAATGAACAATGTAACATTATTTCAATTTTCATTCCAAAATTATTCATCCATTTTTCTTTCACAATACCCACAACAACAATGACGACGACAAGAATAAAAACAAGTGATCATGATCGTTTCCTGATTTTATATATCGGCCAAAATGTGTTTGTGCTCATCATATGTTATGATAAAGTCGCCTTTCCGTAATTACGTCATTTGTTTGATTAATTAAATAATTGGTGTGAATTGTAGAAAACTGCAAAAGTTTTGTTTTATGCTTTTGTTTTCCAATCCCGTAACTATAATAACAGATAAATAGACACATTTTACATTGCTCACATATTCGCTGTATTAATCGCTTGTGCGCACATTGAAATGCAATTTTTTTTCAAGAAGAAGAAGAAGTAGAAAATAAAATCATTCATATATGTGTATGAACTTGGAATGGTTGTAGACACAATAATTGAATAATTGTTATCAACTTTTTTGTTAGTCAGTTTGCGTGACGGGCACGAGGCGAGTTTTGAGACGACAGACGAAATGCATCATATTTTGAAATATTTCAGGGATTTTGTATGAAATGTGCCAGACGAAACATAATATCAAACACGGGAAATTGTGCGTGTATTTAAAAATATTTACCAATGAAAATATACATGAAAAAGAAATTGTTTTGACGACTCATCATCAGTTTTGCACATGTTTGCTATTTCAATGTAATAATTTTACTATTTAAATGTTGAAAACTTAACCGTTTCGAAAGAAAACAATAAAATCGAAGGCTAAGCGATCATGATCACATTAAACGTGGATAAATCACATTGAACAGATTGTTAACACACCACACACCATTCATATTATTTGATTCTCAGACAAAAGTCTCTTGCAACAAACAAGCACATACGGTCACTTTAAAATCAGTAAAGAAAAAGAGTAAATACAATGACGACATCCAATTTACTGGATTTCGATTTTTTATATATGACTTTTTTCAACCAACCGGTATATAATTTTCGTCGATTGCAGGAACTCTGAATTTTACTTTACGAAACTCGATTTAAAATTCACTTTTTATAACGAACAAAAATTACGTTGTTGATTCTTGAAGTAATGAACGAATACTGAAAACATTCGGTGAACGAGTATAAGCGAGAGCTCACGTTAGCCGAACCTATACACACAACAGTGAAATATGTGTTTACATCGACCGATGTCTCACTTGGCGAACTAAATATGAATGTATGCATCGATGTGAATGTGTGTGTTGTGCTTCTCTCGTCAATGGCTTCCATGTATGTTCATCGTGTCGGCTGCAAATGACTAAAGAAGCTCTACATGTCGTTGTTTATAAGTTTTCTAGCAGTAATGGAAATAAATACAGCCGAGAGGAACGAGAAGCAAACCGACAAAACTATAACAGTCATAACGACAAGTTGTACAATAACAAGCACCGTCTATGTTTTACATCGCTTGAGAGAACACCGAACATGCATTTTCAAACTACCAAATAATTTGGTCTCAAGCAACACGAGTATATCTCTTTGGTTTAACAAAACTGCAGCACCAGAAATAGCCAACAGTCTTTGCTGTGAAAGGAATGTTTTTATTTTACTCAAATCTTGTGTACTATGTAGGTGAAAGAATGATTTGATTTGATTTGAGGTGTGATGTGATGTGGATTGCATTTTTCGCGTAGATTATGGGTGTGTGTGTGTGAATTGGATTTTTTCTTTTGCAGGATTTCTCCTTCCAAGAATTAATATATTCTGATGAAGTTGGCTCCGGTGAAAAGAGGTCACATCGTTTAATCGGTGCATATTTAATGTTTATTTTCATTCGTCTTTGTGATAAAACACTGAGATAAGTGTGGTGTAAATAAATCGCATCTATGAAATTTATTCATATGTGGTAATTATTCAACAAACACATTCGAACGATATCAACCATTTAGCGTTCTCAAGTCGCCGCTACGGTAGACAAAGACGACGAAAGCCAACTTCCTAAAGTTGTAAAAATATATTCAAGCACAGAGAGAGAGAGAGAGAGAGAGAGGAAGATAAGCAGAATCGGCATAGATTGTAAATGTCTAATAATGATTGAGTTATAAAAAAGAGCCGCAATTTAAAATTTCAACATGTGTCGGCACACATGGCTCTTGAATGCCACAGATATGTATATAGCATCGAATTTCACTACAATTTCTTTTTGTTTTCAAATGAGTAACCATTTACTTTTGATGGAAAATATTTTAAAAATGTCAATTGAAGAAGCCGCGAGCACTCGTCAAAACCATGCTAATAAATATTTATTTCGTGAAAAAAAAAACGCAACAATGAGTCTTAACCAACATTTTAGTTTGACATACTACGATGACGACGACGACGACGACGACGACGAAGACGCGAAGACAACGACAAAACCGGCTGAAACGGCACAAATGAGCCAAACATGCCGAAAAATGAAAATTGCGTTATGTAAAGCCTTGAAAATGCGAAAATATGAGAAAACACCTGCAGCTGGTCGCCGCTAATCGTTAACGTTGCCTCAATTTCGGCATCCGCTCTCACAACAAAGGATACTCACTCAGTGCAATTTCTATTGAACAAAATTAAAATTTATATCTTAAATACTTTCTGTGCAGTCGTTGTCACTCATTTCCACATGACTTTTTTTATTTTTTTAGTCGGTCTGTGGATGCAATTTTCAGTTTTCCTGTAATCATCGTCTTACACAAATTAAATGTACACGGAATGGAATGGGTGCGCCGCACAGTGCACAACCTAACAAGCTAATAAAAAATGTTGTTGAACTGATGTCGCTAAATTGTTTTGCCAAAAAAACGACCATTTTGCACATCAATCAAGCCGATAAAATAAATTACGGTGAATTTACGAGAATCATGGATGGTCGAAAGCGCGACGGAATGAAGGAAGGTATTTGGTGTGCGCATGCCGAAATACTGAACGGCCGAATGCCTAAAACGAGTTTCAGTGATGCTATCATAAGCACTGATGTGATCACATAGTTTCGAGCCGCACTTTTTTCTCCGAAATCCGTCATAATCAGTTTGACGCGTTTTTCCCCCAATGTTGACACTGAAGGTGCAGAAAATGGCAAACAAAGAGAAAAAAAGAAACCTGTATACTTTTGGGTGGCACGCAATTTGTCACATCTTTCTTCGTGAATAAATTTAATCAACATTTTTTTTGGTGGACGTACCAAATTTGGAAAAAGTTCGAAATAGTAATATGGTTTATGATTTTCGGCAAAGTTGTTAATTTTGTTAAAATTAGATGAAACAAAAACTATATTTTCATAGTTCAGGCAAATTCATTCCAATAAATGGAAATATTAAAAGAAAATAAAGAACCAACCACTGTTGCTACTCTGACCACGAGCCATGATTTATTCTTCTTTCGACAACTTTATTCTGCTATATACGATACTGAATTCCGCATTGGTGATCAATAAGACATAATCAAAGAATGTTCATGCAAAAGATATGGGCGCTGCCACAAAGCAAACGCACAAAATGAATACAACCGAATGGTTTCGCAACCTATACTTTTGGCTGGCGCAAGATAGCGGTGGCGCCTAAATAAGATGTTTTAGCAATTTGCGGCATTTTTAAGAACTATCAATAATTGTTGTTGTTGTCATGAATTTCGCAACAACAAGAAGTATTGATAGTTCCTAAACTTGCCGCAGACTCTATTTAGGCGCCACCGCTACTCACTGTCACGTCAAATACATTGGTTCTCATGGCAGAGAAGCACAGGTTGTGGTTTCGTGAACTCACAAATTGTACAATTTTTTTTAGCTGCCATCAGTTAATTTGCTTTTTTCTGGTTAATATTCTGTGTTGACAGACGTCATTTCCCTACACGATACCGAACGAAATTCAACAAGAACGAAGCGATGATATCAAACTAATCAGTCGATATACAGCACGATTGTGATTTCAAAGCAAACTTCTAGCGAATAGCAATAGTGTTTTAATTAGACAAATGTCCTCTTTCACACCGACTGAAACTCACTGATGCTCCAATCCAAAAAACTATGCCCTTCAAGTCAAACAAAGAAGATTATGAAACATACACTTGCCGGACCAATAAATAAAGATTTTAACACCTTGGAATACAATGGACTGTCTCGAGTCGAGACAAAATCTCTGTAATTATTGGCAACAAAAGTTATAAATTCTTGTCAACGTCTAAATCGGCCAAATAAAATGTCCCATCTTCGAAATAATATTTCAATCGTGAATGCAGAGAAGTGTGTGTGTTTAATTTGTATTCAGTCAACATAATGAAAGGTTTGTATTCTATAAAAGTCTTCAACCATTATGAACCCGTGTTGTTTTTAATGCTTTGAAAAAACTTATGTTTAGGTTTATTTGAGCAATGTTATTCAGATTTTTTTATTTGTTATGCTAATATTCGTCAACATTGCTTTTTCTGTTCTTGTTTGACACGAAACTCTTTCGAGTGGAAGGTGGCGTTTTATGAATGCCTAATGGATTCTGTTTCTCTCCATAAACATTCTTCTCGTTATATCTCGAAAATAGATTTACTAAAAATCATTTGAATTTGAATGAAAAAAGTGTACGTGTAGTTAGTTTATCGGGTGTTGAGCCAATTGTGCACCCGAGAGGAATCAAAATAATCATTTATGCATTTACTCAATACGTTGATAAAGATGAAAATTCATTCAAACGATCAAATGTTGGAAATATAATTTGAATCGACAGAGTCACAACGTTGAATGATCGTCAAAGAAATCAAAGTTACGTTGGGTAATGAATAATTTTGTTGATCTTGGGTGTGCTTCACATTTCATATGAACTAACAATTTGTTCTGTCTTTTTTTGTGCTTGTCTCTCATTATGTTTGACTGAATGCAGAGCGCACCTCGAATTTCTAATTTTCGGGTCGCGGGCGTTACATTGACTGCATCAAAATGAAAGACAAACATATTCACTTGCTTCGAATTCATTTCGGCTGTTTGTGTATACGAGAAAGTTGGATTGCATGCCAATTCACTTCATTTACATTTTAAATGTTGAAGAAATTCAAATTGAGGCGCTCAAGTGACATCAAATCGAAATTGAATGCGAGAATGTCAGAAATAGTACTACAGATAAAATCACACTGTGCGTGGATAAATTGAACGAAACACAAATGTTGGAAGAGGCAAATAAATACGTCTCTGATTTAATACGAGGTCTCATATTAATAGTTCGTTAATTGTGCCTCGAACATTTAAATTCAACTTTTAGATTTCTTTTTTCTTCTTCTTCGGTGCAATGAATGCCAATGAAAATTAATCGGTTGTGAACTTGCCGAATTTAAAGTGATTTGCGAGCTCGTGGATTGATTTATTCGGCGAACATCAATTGTAAAAGAGACGGTTCACTCATCGAAATCGAATACAGTTTAATGGGTCAAACATTTGACGTGCAACGTCGTGATTGTTTGCGAAGTAAAGCACAAAATACGTACGATCGACGTTTTGTCACGTATTTGTTTACTTATTTACAGTGTGGAAGAAGAAAGGAAAATTGTTCACTCACAAATGAATAGAAAACGGAAATTGTCTATTTACGGAAAAGTTACACGATGCAAAAAAAGGAATCAAATTGATATATAAACTACATATTTGCAACACACCGGACGGATCGACTGTCAATAAAACCATAAATTAGACGTTAAGAAGCGAAGCAAACAACGAGAATTGCGACAAGGCTATTCATGAATGAACTGTATTATTTATTGATATTGATTTCTTATGGGAAAAGCCGTGACTTGAACTGCATTCATTACTAATACGCCTTGTTCTGTCGCCCAAATAAGGGCAACTGGACTGAAATATTCATAGTTTCCGTGATATGATTTCATGAATTGCATGTGAAACCAAATGGTTCTTTTCCCTTTCCACAACAACGGCTATTAAAGTCTATTTTTGAACACTCAAACGGAAGCATTGCCAATTTGGTTCAAGTCTATTTATGGAATTTTTATTTCTAAAATTAAAAAAATAAAGGGATATGTTAAAACATACTCGATTCGATCATTTCACACCGCTAATTTATCTTTCTTCACATGACATGCAAAATGAAATATG